GTTTCTTCATGATGGAGGTGACAGGGCTACCTTCACTCCTTTTGGGTATCTTGCTTTGCTGGAGATCTATTATTATTTTTATTACTTTTATTACTCTTCATCATCTCAACCTTCCAAATAAATCTGAGTCTTTACTGGTAAAGAGAGAAGTAGGCTTCGGGTATTTCTGAAATAAAAACAAAACAAAACAAGAAAACAAACAAAACAACAAAATCAAAACAAACCTGAATTCCAGTGGCCTGGAAGGGTCTGATGGAAAACATTACAGAGACCACTGCTCTCCCAGCATGTATAGAGAGACTTGTTCACTGCATTTGAACATCTTTCTGCCAAGTCCAAATCTTATAGATCTGCTTGAATGTACAATGAGGCAAGAAAAAAGTTCTGCCCACTATACAGGAGCAGCCTTACCAAGCCACAAGGAAAACAATGCAGCCATTCCTGATGACCTGTTAGACTAGGATCAGAAGGAATGGGAGGAAGACCTCCCCTATCAGTGGACAAGGGGAGGGGCATGGGTGGAGAAAGGGGAGGGAGGGTGGGATTGGAAGGAGAGGGGGGAAGGGAGCTACAGGAGGGACATAAAGTGAATAAACTGTAATTAACAAAAATTAAAATTAAGAAATAATTGAGGCAAGCATAGGCTATGGAGCTGGTAGAAAGGCAACCGTGTTTTACATGGCAAGTAAATAGGGCAAGAGCACAGTTGAAGGGGCAGGTGAGATAGGACTATGGGATAGGCGGAATAGGCAAGCTTGGAACATAGGACAGACAGGATAGAAAAACGTGGGCTATGAGGAAGGTGAAATAGGCAACAATGGGCTACAGGCAGGAATAGGCAAGCAAGGTATGGGTCAGGTAGAATGGCTAGTATGGGCTATGAGGTAGGTGGGAAAGACAAGCATGGACCCATACGGAACAGGTAGGGAAGGAGAGCACATACTATTGGACACGAACAATCAAGTACAGTTCAGTCCAATGGGAAGACTAACACAAGTGGCTTCACCAACAATCAAGAATCACACAGAGATTCAGACACTGTAAGTCAACAATTTAATGTCCATTTTGACCATTAATGAATCATAAATGGGTACAGGGCTAGTAAGTAAATATTTAGAGGGTAATGATCTCAAGTACAGAATTTAAGGAACCTAATTTAAAAAAAACAGAACAATGAAGCATATGCAGATTTAGAATAAATTAATTCAGTCATCAGATCTTAATACCAGTGTTAAGGAAACAAAAATAAAATTCTACATATGATAAAATGATCACAACCATTGAAAAAATATACCTGATTAATACTATGTCCATTATTAACCACTAACAACAAGCTTTCCCAGTCCTGGAAGGTGCTATGCAAACATCCAAGGAAGAGAAGAAGCCAGTGGTCCAATCCAGCTGTGACTTCTATGGTCCACACCAATAACCAGCAGGGCACGAGATCCCCAAGAGTGTAGTCGTGCTGCTCACATCCTGTCTCTAACATCTAATAGCTGTCTATTCACCTGAAGTTCTATGTGACAGGAGGACAATCATGCCTAGTAACAAACACCTTTCCAAATACCTGGACTGGTGGTCATGGACGTGAGGGGAGAACCTTGTACTACTACTTTACTAAGGCAGTATAATAATTTCTAGCTGTATTCTGTATGTTTGTTCTTAAGTCCACAGAGAAGTGTCCCTCATCAAAGAAACCTTTCCTTGCAACAGAGGGAGACCATTACAGAAAACCACAAGCAATCAGAATGCAGAGAACAGCTAATCATGTGGTTCAGAGTCTCAATGAATAAATTTACACTGCAGATCCTTCACCTAAGGATTTATTGTGACTCCTTTAAATGATAGAAAGGCATCACCCATGATACCTAAACAATATGGCTGCCTGAAAAAAGACCTGGACAATGGCACTAATAGACCTGATAATATAGAAGAAAGAAATCTTATGGGGCCTCAGTCCTAGACTGCTAACTCTAGGCAGGAAGTTTCTGTTAAGAGGAGAAAGAGTTTTCTCCAGGAACAAAACATCCCAACTGTTTATCTGCTATGAAGTGGTCAGCCCTGAAATCATAAACACATGTAACTCTACGTGGACTTTAATTAATAACAATTACATTAAAAGAGGCAATGAGTTATGAATTTGAGAGGGAGCCAAGGAGAGGACATGGGGAAGTCTGGAGGGAGGAAATGGAAGGTGGGGAATAATGTAATTTTATTTTAATTAAGAGAAAGAGGGCATTAATATAAAAATAAATTCAGGGGAAATATTTCATACATCTATAATATTGCAAATATGACTTAATAAAAGGGGAGTGTTATAATAATAAAATAATATATATTGCAAATGTGTATAACCTATAAATGCTTATGAATTGCAGTAAACATTAAAATGTTGCATTCTTTGGAGCGGCGTCACTGAGCATTAATTCAGAAAAACAGACACTATTTTATGTATCTTGGTTATGATAGAGGCAGTTATAATGACTTTACAAGATGAGAGATGAAAAATGTTGAGCTACGAGGCCAGAGAACTGCTGTTGCAGGTCAAGAGAGGCTGCCGTCAGGATCAGAGTTATTGAGCCTGGAGATTCCAGGCTACAGCACATGAAGCAGGTGGCTATTAATTGAGTTTTGGGAGCTGCTGCAGTTCTTGCAGTTCTTTGCAGGCTTTCTATCCCAGCCTGCAGTGGAGTTTTCCAGAGTCTCTGGGAAGCTGCTTCGAGTCTCTCATGTGCCCTCATTTCTGTCCGCAACTGATGCTATTATAGAACAGTTTCTTCTTCTCTCTGCTTTCCAAGGCCTCTAAAAATTCCTCATTAGGATGCTCTAACCCAGATCAATGAGAGAGCGAGTTCTGACAAACAGTTCCCACCCCAGCAGTCTATACATAGCTCAGGCTCTTTGCAGAGTATTCTCATTCACATTATTGCCATTCACATTTGGTTGATGGCGTATTTCACGTTAAGGCGATGAAGTACCTAACCCATACCTCCATGGTTAGTAAGCAGAAGAGTGATTCAGAATAGCTGTTTCAAAGCCTGGGTGCTGAATCATTTTGTGGCTGTTTCCTGTGCCTTCTATTGCACGCTGTTCATATCAGCAATGTTATCATTATTAGTAATTATGAATTAAATCAATTATGGAAAAGTTTGCTATTATGTGTTCTGACCTGTGAGTGCAAACAGGGTCCCAGGAAAATTAGTACTTGCACCTACCAATCCCCAGATCCTTAGCTTAAACTATACACAAATATTTGGTTTCGGGGGAAGGATGACATTGCTTCCTCCATTTTGCTTTTTTATTTATAAACACAGAAAATAAAAATATCTCTCAGGGATCTGCATATCAGGACCCTTACATTAATTGTAACGATTGCAGATCATTTCCAGAAAGTATTTCTGCCCCCGAGTTGAGACTGGCTTAATGTTCTGAAATCGTTCTCCCTCATGCTGAATGAGCCTTGTGAACCATCCAGCAAACAGTTCCCACCTCCAACTTGACATTCTACCTGCGCAGCTCTATTTTCATCTCCTGAATCCATCAGCTCCTCAGTTATATTTCTGTTTCTACAACTTCTTGGTTGAAAGAGACTGATGTTCTATTGCCAGAAGCTTCTTTGCAAATCTAAGGATTTAAATGTTCCTGTATAAAAAAAAGATATTTCTGCAAGTTCAAAGTCTTCAAGATCATTCAACTGCAAAATGCTTGGATACATATCTTGAGAGGCCAGGTAACATTTTGTTCAGAATCACATGAAGATAGACCTTTGACAAAACATCATAATGTACCAAAACCATTAACTGATTTACTTGCTTATGGCAGAATTTCTTTTGTTCCCTTAACCTTATATATTTATTAGTGGATTAAAAATAGGATAAACATGCTAAAATCTAAAATCTACAGTACTAAAGAAGCTAAACAACAAGGAGGACCCTAGGGAAGAGTCACTAGAGAAAGATTGATGGTAAGTAAACATGCTGCAATCCTGAAGAAGAGTATTAACGTAGAAGAAATAGGCCAGCATCATAAGCAACAAGAAAGTAACAAAGAAAAAAGCAAAACCAAAAATGTAATGGGCATTTCTGTTACTCCTTCATTCCCAAGTAATTCCAATATCTAACTTCTCTGACCTACTCAGTTGAACAATTGCCACTTACAGAATAGAAGTTAAAATGATAACTGACTAGGATAAAACAGGGATAGATGAGATGTGACTGGTAGGAATGTGAGAGGGCAATGCCAGTTCACAAATCCAATTACAGGGCAGGAAACAGCATCTTCATCCTGGTGGGGAGGCAGTTGTTTATGTCTGGGTATCCTAAGTGACCACAAATTGGAGACTGTCCTTTGCTCTTCCTGACCGAATAAAAACAACACATAGACATTATCCTTGGGCAAATTTTGGCTCAATTTAAGGTATTATTAGGGCAGCTGAAAGTAAAGAGTCTGTTTGATGGATAGAGAAAGACATAGTCATTGAGCAAGGAGGGAAGAGGTGAGGGAGAGAGAAAGGGAAAGAGGATTTTTTACAAAAAAAATTAATTCTATATTGTTTGGAGATTATGTAAGGCTTATGTGACTTTATGACTTCTAAATAGTTTCTTTAAATCCAGCATGTTCTTTGGAGATTTAAAAGGAAAATTATATTAACATATTATAAAAGGTATAGTATTTCTTTTAGCTAAAGCTTAGTTTCTAATAGGATTCCTTGAAAGAGTAATCTGGGATTTAAAATTTATAAATCATATTTAACAGAAAGAGTTGAGATCACGTTTGGGTAATTTTTGCTGCGATGTGGTTGTGAAACAAAAATGGGTGGTCTGCCTGTGCCTCAGTGTTTTCGCAGTGAGGAGTTACTAAGGTGTAGCTGCCTAGAAGGATTCTGGGAGAGTTTTAACGAGTTGCTATGTGTGTGGACAGTGGTCATGCCAAGCAGCGATGGATACTGTGGTAGCATTTCTTTTCATTGGACGTAAATGTGGGTCTCGTTCTGTCTTTAGGAATTAATGACCAAGTTAATAACCGAGACGCCAGACCATCCGATCCCGTTTCTCATTGATCATCTTCAGTCTAAACAAGGAAATCGAGGACAACTGCAAAGGACTTTGTCTGGGTCAGCAGCTCTCTGGGCAGAAAGCGAAACATCAGGTACTTGAAAAACAAGACCCTGTAAATACATATGTTAATTTGGGATATATCTAATACAGCGATTCTCAACTTGTGGGTCGCGACCCCTTTAGGGTTGTTTGAGATTATAGGAAAACGCAGATATACACATTATGATTCAAATTTAGTAAAATTACAGTTATGAAGTATCAACAAAAAAAATTTTATTGTTGGTGCTCACCACAACATGAGGAACTGTACTAAAAGGTTGAAGAACTAAGAAGGCTGAGAACCACTGATCTAAGAGAAAATTTTCACATGTATTTTTAATTACAATACGATAAATGTAAAATTTTCAGGCATTCTACAATGATTTTAGTTTCATGTTAAATTTTCATGTAAAACGTGTTTGAATTTGAATACATTAAAATGTACTGTGCATTTATAAATGAACATAGAGTGTTTCATTTAATAGAATTGACTCAACTTGGCATGAAACTATTTCATTCTGTATGGATTCAAACTTTGACACTTGTGTCTCATTTTGTAAACAGCTTGATTTAAAAGTATATAGCTTATCTGCACAGAAAAGATATGAGTAATGAGTAATGAGATAGTGTCTGCAAAGTTACTTTTGCTTTTCTCAGAACAGATTATCCTGTATTTCTCCCAATCCTGATATTGTCCTTTGTAGTAAATTTAACTTTAGAAATAGTTGAGCCCCTCAGAGGACAGCTCTGACAGGCTCCTGTTTGCAAGCTTAACAGAGCGTTGTTCATAGTGTCAGGGGTTGGCACTCTCCCATAGGGTGGGTCTTTGGTTGGGCATTCCTTCAGTCTCTGCTCTATCTGCTCTCTTTATTTCTGCACACCTCAGAGACAGGGTGAATTTTGTGATTGAAGTTTTTGTGGATGGATTGCTGTTCCCCTCCCTCTGCTAGCAGACTAGTCTAGTTAGAGGGTGTCCTCTTAAGCAGTCTCTATGCTCTCTGCTGGAATTCCCCTTATATCCTCCCAGGAGCCTATCCTCACTTAGGTCTCCAGCATATCACAAAGATGTTCCCACCCTCAGTCTCTTTTTTTCTCTACAGGCCTTCTGTCCTCTTGCCCTTGCTCTCTTCAGGTCTGATCTCAGCAGTGCCTCAAAACAGATGTTAAGACTTACCAGGCCACAGTAGAGGACAATGCAGCCACTTTTGATGAGAACTGATAGACTAAGATCAGAAAGGAGAGGAGAACCTCCCCTATCAGTGGACTTGGGGAGTGGCATGCATGCAGAAAGGGGAGGGAGGGTGGGATCAGCAGGGGAGGAGGGAGGGGCTTATGGGGGGATACAAAATGAATAAAGTGTAATTAATAAAAAAATAAAAAAATACTTTTTAAAAAGTAAAAAAAAAAAAAAAAACCTCACAGCAAACATTGGTTGTTGCTTAGGGAGTCTTAGGGAATAGTGGGAGGAAAGAGAAAAGGACCCAGAAGTGACAAGAGCTCCACAAGAAAAACAACAGAGAAAACTAACTAGGGCCCAGAGGATTTTGCTGAGACAGAAGCATCAATGAAGGACCATGCGTGAACTGGACCTAGGCCCCCTACAAAGATGTAGCACATGGGCAGCCTAGGCTTCAAGTGGGTCCTCTAGTAAGGGAACTGGGGACTACATTGGACAGGGACTCGTTAGCTTTTAGATCACTTCACCCTGTGGGGACTGCCTTGACAGGCTCAGGGGAAGATGACACATTCGGTCCTGATGCAACATGATTAGCTGGGGTGGCTGGGAAATGTAGTTCCTCTTTTCTGAGAAAAAGGGGAGTGGGAGGAGGAAGGGAGAGAGGGAAAGAAAGAAGGGGCCACAAGGATGCAAAGTGAATAAAATAAATAAATGAGAAAAAAAAAGAAATAGCTTAGCTCTGGGCAACTCTGAACATTGGGGGGTGGGGCAGCCTTCCAATCTCCATTCCTCCTTTTCACATTAAACAGAGGGGAAAAAATACAACAGGGTAGATGTCACTTCAGTCTTCCTGAACATTGTTCTTCAGGTTTGCTTTCAAATCCCAAACTCTGAATACTGTGGACTGGCTGGTCTGGGTTTTTGCTAACTTGTCACAACATAGAGTCATTTTAGAAGAGGAAACCTCATTTGAGAAGACACCTCCACAAGACTGACTTGTGGGCAAGCCTGTGGTACATTTTCTTGATTGGTAATTCACGTGGGATGGCCAGATCACTGTGGGCAGTGCTACCCCAGAGTTAATGGTTCTGGGTTCTACAAGAAAACAGGCTGAGCAACATGAGGAGCAAGCCTTTAAGCAACATTCCTCCATAGTTTCTGCTATAGTTTGTGCTTCTTTCCTTCAACTCCTACTCTTAGTAATAGATGTGCGACTGAAAGTTTAAGATGAAATGGAGTCTTTCCTCACCAATTTCTTGTCGGTCATGCTTTTTTAGCATCACAATAGACATCCTAAATAAGACATGTCTGTTGCATGGGTCACCAACTCTTTGCCTAATTCCCATGGAGATTGGACTGACTAGTCTCTAAATGATTTCCATGGGATGCCACCATGCTACCTTCTCTTCTTCTCATCCTCTGTGAAATCTCAGGAAAAGATTTTGGTCTTCTTTTGCTGCATAGTCATATTAATACGTTCTTGATATTCGTATAAGTCTACATTAAAGAAGGCAGGAAATGAATATCCTCTGAATAAATTGAACATTTCTGGTGATGATATCTACATAAAATTTAACTTTAACAGACAAGAAACTAGAAAATGAGTTTTGACATACAAAACAAAACAAAAAACCTCTTGTATTTGTTTTTTCCACTTGACATCACTTCCTTGGGTTTACAACTCAGGTGGGTTTATTGGCACATGTTTTGGTGCTAAGATGGAACCTACCTTGTGGTAGAAGATCAAATTGACATCTGTGATGTTCTACAAGCTCACAAGACTGTATCTTATAAATAATTTAATTTATGGAGGCAGTACTATATTAAACTCTGAATTATTTATCAACACGTATTTCACATTCAACGTCCATGTGCCAGAAGCCTATGTATGGCTTAGCCAGCTTTGTTCAGCTTCACAAAGCAAATCAAACTCTTGGCTGGGTTGCAATTTCATCTGGATACTGAGCTAGAGAAGAACACATTTCCAAGCTCATTTGGCTTGTTGGCAAATAAACTCTCCATAGCATGCAACTGACTTTCCTATTTTCATTCTGGTTTTTTTTTTTTTTTTTTTAGCCTGGGTTTCTTCTTAGCTACTCTGCAAGTAGAGGTCACTACTACATGATTCTTACCTTATGGCAGATTATTTTCTCCAAGTCAAGAAGTCTGCTCAAATGAGGTTTATATTTTACATTTATGTAATTGTGACATTATTACCTGAACCCTTTGCTATATGATATGTGACAGAAGCAAATCAGTGCTTCTGTCTTCATTAAATTCAGGAGAATACTGTGGGTCATAATTAACCATTACTATGTTACCATCCCAGATTTCTTAGATTTCTCATTGCCACAAGGGCTGGTTGACTTTTCTTGGAGAAAGTGGAAGAAAGAAGTAGACTATTATAGCTAATGGCTTAATAACTTAAGTAATGGTATAAATGCCCACTTAATAAGTCAAGATGAAACATGAAACTAAATTTCCAATGAGAAGCCGAGGCTGAACTCCTATTGGTGAGTTTGAATTTTGTGGAGCATCTTAGGGAGCAATACTCGCAAGCATTTGGACGTGAATCTGAATCTCGGCTCGGTCAAGGCAGGAGGCCAAGAAAAGGGATTTACACCCTGCCAAAGGAACAATCGTCCAATCCACAGGAATGAAAGAACAGAGAAAGATGTCCTAAATTATGTCAAGTAAAGGATTGCTGGAGGATGATTAGTGTGATGTTATTCTATGTTCTTTAAATTTTCCTGTTTATTAAGACATATATTTGCTTGTTGAAGAGAAGAGTTGGAGATTAGGTGACAGAAATAAGTGACCTTGATACTAATAAGTTACCAGGAGAGAAGGGGGGATAGGTTATAGAAAAAAAAGTTTGTTTAAACAACTCTGGGTCAAAACTTAGTTGAAGACTTGAATTAGTCATTATTAAAACTTGTAGAAACCACCAGAGAGGTGTTCTTCAGCAGAGCCTGGAAACCTGAGAGACTCATTGAGGCAGGTGGTTGTACAACTAAAACCAGGGTAGAAGGTGGGACACAAATTTTGTGGAAAGGTTGAGGATATTGATGAACAAAATGCACCCAAAACTAAGCAGAAAGCCTGGCATGGAAGATAGTGATTGTCTGTGGGAACTTGCTTATCCATAGAATCCCAGTCAGAGATTAAAAAAAAAAAAAAAAGCCTATGAGAGATTGATGCAGTAAAACCAAGAGATAGAGTTCTACAGTGCTGAAAGACAGTGATTAATTGATGTCAAGTCATTTAAGGTAGAGTGGTTCTAGAGAATGAGAAGACCCAGTTGGGTAGCCTTAGTTTGGAGTATCTGAAGTATTAGAGAAGTGAAGCACCTCAAAATCGAAGCAAGAAAGTCTGGAGTCTGCGGCTTATGTAGATTTAAAGAGATCACTGATGTTTCACCCGTGCTGTCAGAAGGACAAGAGAGATTGTAGCGAGGTCTAGATTACTGCGGTGGGGAAACGCAGAGGTCGATGAGGAGGAGCGGTGAGCAGTGTCATTAGCAGTATTTCCAGTTCCCTTCACTTGTGGAGGCCTCACACTGCAGAGGCATCCTGAGACTAGGAGGTCTCCAGCCCTTACAGCATGTGAGTGTCGGGATGGGGGTGAAACTCTCTGTTCCAGGAAGCTGCAAAAAAGGAAGCATCTTATGTGAAAAAGGAAACGACAATCTGATGTACATGTTAAGATACGACATGGGGATTTGAAAATGGAAGAGTGCTCATTTATGTGGAAAATAAGGACCACAGAAGAAGGAAAATATTTTAGAGGAAAAATGTAGAAGGAGAAAAAAAAAACGTTCAGTTTTTGATGTTAATAGAAGCAAAGAATGATTATTTGGATGGTGGTTAAACCATGGCTGCAATTTTTCATTATTTTGGTGCATATTCTAATCAGTTATGCAATGTCTTAACATCTGAAGGACAAAGTATTTTCCCAGAAATATTCTGAGTCATCCTATTGTTGCATTTAAGCACAAGCAGGGATCAGGACACAGCATGCCCTCACATGTCCATCCCTTCTTCATATGAATGGGAAAAATTTCTTAGGGGGAAGAGGAACCTTATTTTTGTTTCACTTTTGCAATGTGGAATACTGGCACGAACACACACACACACACACACACACACACACAACACACACACACTTTTGGCATTCAAAAGTGTAGTTCAGATATTTCCTATGATTCCTCAGGAAAATCATTTTTGTGAAAATTGAGTTTTCTTCAAGGGACATCATTTTCCCCGTTTCATTTGACATTGCCTTTCTCTCTTTGTGGACGCTCTGCTCTGGATCTTTATTGAGTGAAATGTGCTGTCTGTGATCCTAATTCAATTTTCAACACTGTCAGAGTTCCTCTTCCAGCATGACTACATATTTGATGTGATATTGCATTTTAGTTTTCTTTCAATATATATATATATATAGCCTTGGCTGTCTTGGACTCAATTTGTAAACCAGGCTGGCCTCAGATTCACAGAGATTCATACAATTATGTTTTAATCACAGCTTTCTCAGCACCTCTTCTTTGATTTTGTTTTGTCATTATTTTACTTTCATTGAGAAGTCAAAAAGTCAGGTTCTGACATTTAATAGCTATAAGGTTAATTTTTTTTCTTTGGTGTTTTAAATGTTTTCTTTTTTCATTACTATGTTTCTATATTTTCTGTTGATACAGACTTAAATATGGAGTGTTGCATCTAGTTTTAGGCATGTCAGTAGATAGTGTAGGCAGAGATTTCTTGCGCTTTAACCATACAATTTGAAACTCTGAAATATTTTTTTAAAATATTTCTTATTATTATTAATTACACTTTATTCATTTTGTACCCCCCATAAGCCCCTCCTTTCTTCCCTCCCGATCCCACCCTTCCTCCCTTTTCTGCATGCATGCCCCTCCCCAAGTCCACTGATAGGGAGGTCTTCCTCTCCATCTTTCTGATCTTAGACTATCAGTTCTCATCAGAAGTGGCTTCATTGTCATCTTCTGTGGCCTGGTAAGGCTGCTCCCCCCTCAGGGGGAGGTGATCAAAGAGCAGGCCAATCAAATTATGTCAGAGGCAGTCCCTCTTCCCATTACTATGTAACCCACTTGGACACTGAACTGCCATGGGCTACATCTGTGCAGGGGTTCTAGGTTATCTCCATGAGTAGTCCTTGGTTGGAGTATGAGTCTCTGGGAAGTTCCCTGTGTTCAAATTTTCTTGTTCTGTTGCTCTCCTTGTGGAGTTTCTGTCCTCTCCAGCTCTTGCTATTTCCCACTTCTTACATAAAATTCCATTCACAGTTGGCCATCAGGTTCAGCATCTGCTTTGATAGTCTGCAGGGCAGAGGCTTTCAGAGGCTCTCTGTGGCAGGTTCCTAGGTTGTTTCCTATTATCTTCTTCTGGCTTTCAGAGGCCCTCTGTAGCAGGTTCCTAGGTTGTTTCCTGTCTTCTTCTTCTTCTGGTGTCCATCCTCTTTGCCTTTCAGGATGGGGATTGAGCATTTTAGTTAGGGTCCTCTCTTTTGCTTAGTTTGTTTAGATGTACCAATTTTAGTGGGTTTATCTTATGTTGTATGTTTATATGAGTGAGTATATACCGTGTGTGTCTTTTTGCTTCTGGGACAACTCACTCAGGATGATCCTTTCCAGGTCCCACCATTTACCTGCAAATTTCATGATTTCCTTATTTTTCATTGCTGAGTAATACTCCATTGTATAGATGTACCATAATTTCTGCATTCTTCAGTTGAGGGGCATCTGGGCTGTTTCCAGCTTCTGGCTATTACAAATAAAGCTGCTACAAACATGGTTGAGCAAATGTCCTTTTTGTGTACTTGAGCCTCTTTTGGATATATAGCTAGGAGTGGTATGGCTGGATCTTGAGGAAGTGCTATTCCTAGTTGTCTGAGAAAGCGCCAGATTGATTTCCAGAGTGGTTGTACAAGTTTACATTCCCACCAGCAGTGGAGAAGGGTTCCTTTTTCTCCACATCCTCTCCAGCATGTGTTGTCACTTGAGTTTTTGATCTTGGCTATTCTGATGGGTGTAGGGTGAAATCTCAGGGTTGTTTTGATTTGCATTTTCCTAATGGCTAATGAGGTTGAGCATTTCTTTAAATGCTTTTCTGCCATTCGATATTCCTCTACAGAAAGTTCTCTCTTTAGCTCTGTTTCCCATTTTTTAAGTGGATTACTTGGTTTGCTGGTTTTCAGCTTTTTTAGTTCTTTATATATACTGGATATGAGTCTTCTGTCAGATAAAGGGTTGGTGAAGATTCTTTCCCAATCTGTAGGCAGTCGCTTTGTTTTGATGGTGTTCTTTGCTTTACAGAAGCTTTTCAGTTTCATGAGGTCCCATTTATTGCTTGTTGCTCTTAGAGCCTGAGCTGTTGGTGTTCTGTTCAGGAAGTTTTCTCCTGTACCAATGAGTTCTAGGGTATTCCCCACTTTTTTTTTCTAGCCGATTTAATGTGTCTGGTTTTATGTTGAGGTCTTTGATCCACTTGGACTTCAATTTTGTGCAGGGTGATAAATATGGATCTATTTTCATTTTTCTGCATGTAGACATCCAGTTGGACCAGCACCATTTGTTGAAGATGCTATCTTTTTTTTCATTGTATGGTTTTGGCATCTTTGTCAAAAAGCAGGTGTCCATAGGTGTGTGGGTTTATTCTGGGTTTAATCTTCTGTTCGGTTCCATTGATCCATCATTCTGTTTCTATGCCAGTACAGTGCAGTTTTTATAACTGTTGCTCTATAGTACAGCTTGAGATCAGGGAAACTCCGAAATATTAAAGGAAAATATTGATAGGACAAATCATGACTGCTACTGAAATTCCTAGTATTAGTCAAGTCTTAAGAGGATCTGCTATACTGATGGGTGACTTTCTGCCTCTCACATTTTTTTTTTCAAGCAAGTAGATAAGAAAGATATCGTGGCCAAGATATTTCACTAGTACTCTTTATGGACAAAAGTATAAAATAATTCAAAAAACTCCAATGCTTTATGGAACTTATATCTTCTCTGTAACCATTTAAAAATATAAGATGCTCCATTTCATGACCAGAAATTTTTCATCCTTATTACTATTATTTGTTTATATTCTTTAACAGAACCCAAAGGAACAAGAAGAGATTTTAGAAGCTATGATAAACCTTGGCAGGTGAATGCAAAGAAGCCCAAAAAATCAAAAAGTGACCTTGCTGTGTCTAATATTTCTCCACCATCACCAGACTCCAAATCATGTAAGTTTGTTACCTAAATGTTACTAAATTTGCAAGTCTCTGTATTTTGGAAGCAAAGAAAAGTTATCAATTGTATTTAAACTTTTCGTTTGTTTTTTGGTTATTTCCTAATCCTGATGAATCCACATTCACTACAGCATTTACATTGAACTTCATGTGCACAAATCTCCTCATTTATGCCCTCTCAAATGTGCAAACAGCTGAGATCTTTTCTGGCATTCTGTTATCTATTCACTTGGCTACACTCTGATTGTTCCCTTCTTATCTACACATCTGGCTACACTGTGAATGTACTCTACAAGATCCTAAGTCCTGCCTCACTTACCTCACTTAGGACCAATCAGCTTAAAGGTTAACTGGTAATACTTTGTCTACTTAGCCAAAAACGTAATATTGTTTTGTTTGGTTAACAAGAATGTGTTACTGCCCTCCCTATGTCTTTTGCATTTGGTTCAGTCTACAAAACCGCTGCTGTGAGAACTTGTAGATATCACAGTTGAGCTCCTGAATGAGTCTTTACTGTGACCCTGATTGATCATCTTGGAAAAGATGTTCCAAGAAACCATTGATATCTAACTGAGACTGGAGTCTGAGTGGTTTGTGTGGCTATTCTTATACTAGAACAGCATAAAGTAGAAAACATAACAAAAAAAATTAGATGCAAAATGAATCATCCCAAGCTTCCCTCTCCATCATGATTGAGCTCTCGTTCCTTGCCTGTTATCTCAAGTTAAGCCTACAAACTTAAAGAATCACTTATCTCTAAGGGAACATGCCTAATGTCATGCTTCTGAGGCCCTGTGCTCTTAATAGGACACTGCCCAGGGACAGCATGGCTGTTCATGTGATGAGCTTCCTGTAAGGTTCTTTTCTGCCTTCTTCATTTATTTACAATCTCTAACTATAGCAAAATGTTATCAAGAAGCTTTTAATATTGATAATATAACAAACCATCTTCCCTAAACTATCTAAAGACACAGTATGTTACAATAAAGATACAATGAATTAAAGTCACTGATGGAAACCCATTCCCAAAATTACTACATTTGTAAAGCAGTTGTTAAAGATGTGTGTTTTGGTCTCTGAAGCATCATTAATAATAATACAAAGTAGACAAAAAGTAAGTTTATGAAAATGGGAAATACAATTATTTATCTTCCTAAAACTAATGCAGAAAAGTGATAGATACAACAAATAAAAGTAAGGAATAAGGGACCAGTAAGATAAATAAATGGGTGAAGGCACTTGCCACAAGGGCCCAATGACCTGAGTTTGAATGACAGAACTCATGTATTGCAAAGGGAAAAACAATTCCTGCTCTGTGTCTTCCATTCTTCACACTAATGCCATGGCATGAATGTGCATCCTTATACAATAAATAAATGAATAGTACAAACCAAGAAAGACTATATTATAAAAAGAAAAACCACAACATCAAGATAGGAGCTTAGGTCCAAATGTCAATAATTACACTAAATAAATGGACTGAGCATCCCAGTTCAAAAGCAAATACTATCATGCTAGATAGAGTATAGAATAAAAGAAAAGAAAACAAAACAAAACAAAAAAAAAACAGGCAGACATTTTTATTCATTTTTTTAATATTTATTCACTTTAAATCCAGATCTTACATAGCCTCCTTCCTCATATCAACCTGGTTCCACCCTCTGTCTCTCCCTCTTTCCACATCCCCTTCCCCTAGTCCTCAGAAAGGAGAGCCTTCTCCCCTACCAGCTGACCCCAGCCTATCAATTCTCATCAGGACTGGCTGCATTGCCTTCCTCTGTGGCCTGGCAAGGCTGCCCCAACAAGGGGAAGTGATCAAGAAGGACACAACAGTATCCATGTCAGAGACAGCCCCTGCTCCCCTTACTAGGAAACCCACATGGAGACTGAGCTGCTTATCAGCTACATCTGAGCAGGGGGTCTAGATCCTCTTCATGCATGGTTCTTAGTTGGTGCATCAGATTCCACAGGGCAGCCTAGGCCCAGATTTGTTGGCTCTGTTGGTCTTCTTGTGGAGCTCTTGTTCTCTCTGGGCCCCTCTATCTCCCCTACTCTTCTATAAGACTCTTTGTGCTCTGCTCAAAGTTTGGCTGTGAGTCTCAGCATCTGCTTTAGTCCCCTGGTGGGTGGAGTCTTTCAGAGGGCATCCATGATAGGCTCCCTTCCTGTTCCCTCTCTCAACCACTTTCAGTGTCAAATAGAATTATTTGCCCTTCTGAATGAAAATTAAGTATCCTCCTTAGCATGCTCCTTGTTACTTAGCTTCTTTAGATCTGTGGATTGTATTATATGGCTAAAATCTGCTAATAAGTGAATGTATACCATGCTTGTCTTTCTGGGTCTAGGTTGCCTCACTCGGGATGGTCTTTTCCAGATCCATCTCTTTGCCTGCAAATTTCATGATGTCCTTGTTTTTAATAGCTGAATGATATTCCATTGTGTAGATGTACCACAGTTTCTTTATCCATTCTTCAGTTTAGGGACATCTTGGTTGTTTCCAGTTTCTGGCTATTATGAATAAAGCCAATATGAATATAGTTGAGCAAATTTCTTTGTATGTTAGAGTATCTTTTGGGTATGTACCCAGGAGTGAAATAGCTTGATCTTATGGTAGAGCTGTTCCAAATTTTCTGAGAAAGTGCCAGATGGATTTCCAGAGTGGTTGTATCAGTTTACATTCCCACCAGCAATGGAGGAGTGTTCCCCTTCCTCCACAACCTTGCCAGCATGTACTGTCATTTTAGTTTTTGATCTTAGACATTCTGATCTGTGTAAGATGGAATCTCAGACTTGTTTTAATTTGCATTTCTCAGATGAGTAAGGATGTTGAACATTTCTTTAAGTGCTTCTTGGCCATTCAATATTCCTCTGTTGAGAATTCTCTGTTTGGCTCTGTACACCATTTTTTAAATTGGATTAGTTTAATGGTGTTTAATTTCTTGAGCTCTTTAGATATTTTGAGTATTAGCACTCTTTCAGATGTAGGGTTGGTTAAGATATGTTCCCAGTCTGTAGGCTGTCGTTTTGTTCTATTGAAAATGTCCTTTGTTTTACAGATGCTTTTCAGTTTCATGAGTTTCCGTTTATTAATGTTGATCTTAGAACCTTAGCTGTTGGTGTTATGTTCAGGAAGTTTTCTTCTGAGCCAATGAGTTCAGGGCTCTTCCTCACTCTTTTTTTTCATTGTGGACTTAGTGTGTCTGGTTTTATGTTGGAGTCTTTGATCCACTTAGACTTTAGTTTAGTGCAGAGTGATAAATTTTGATCTATTTGCATTTTCTATAGGTAGACATCCAATTAGACCAACACCATTTGTTGAAGATGCTGTCTTTTTTCCATTGTGTGGTTTTAGCTTCTTTTTCAAAAATCAAGTATCTGTAGGTGTGTGGGTTTATTTCTGGTTCTTTGCTTTGATTCTATTGATTCACCGGTCTGTTTCTATGCCAGTACCATGCAGTATTTATTACTGTTGCACTATAGTACAGCTTGAGATCAGAGATAGAGATACCTCCAGAAGGTCTTTATTGTACAGGATTGTGTTAACTGTTTTAGTTTTTTTTTTTCCATATGAAGTTGAGAATTGTTCTTTCACAGTCTGTTTGATGGGAATTACATTGAATCTGTAGATTGCTTTTGGTAAGATGGTCATTTTTATTATGTGAATCCTACTGATCCATGAGCATGGGAGATCTTTCCATCTTTTAATACCCTTCTTCAATGTCTTTATTAGGAGGCTTGAAATTCTTGTCATATAGGTCTTTCACTTGCTTGGTTAGAGTTACACCAAGATCTTATATGTTTGTTGTTGTTGTTGTTGTTTGTGGCTATTGTGAAGGGGTGTTTCCCTAATTTATTTCTCAGCCCATTTGTCCTTTGTATACAGGAGGCTACTTTTGTTTGTTTGTTTGTTTGTTTGTTTGTTTTTAGTTAACTTTTATATCAATTCCCTTTGCCAATGGTGGTTTCCATGGTAGAATTTTTCAGGTCACATATGTATATTGTCATATCATCCATGAATAGTGAGGAATACTTTGACTTCTTTCTTTCCAATTTGTATCCCCTTCATCTCCTTACTTGTCTGATTGCTCTAGCTAAGACTTCAAGTACTATATTGAAGAGATATGGAGAGATTGGGCAGCCTTGTCTGAATTTAGTGAAATTTCTTTGAGTTTCTCTCCATTTAATTTTATGTTGGCTATCAGCTTACTGTATATCACTTTTATTATGTTTAGGGAAGAGCCTTATATACCTGTTCTTTCCAAGACTTTTATCATGAAAGGGTGTTGGATTTTGTCTAAGGCTTTTTCTGCATCTAATAAGATTATCTTGTGATTTTTTTCTTTCAGTTTATTTATATGGTGGATTGCATTGATTGATGTTTGTATATTGAACCGTCTCTGCATTCCTGGATGAAGCCTACTTGATAGTAGTGGATGATGTATTTGATGTGTTCTTGAATTCAGTTTGCGAGTATTTTATTGAATATTTTTGCATCAATGTTCATGAGGGAGTTGGGTCTGAAATTCTCTTTCTTTTTTGAGTCTTTGTGTGGTTTAGGTTTCAGGGTGACTGTGGCTTCATAGAATTAGTTTGGCAATGTTTCTTCTGTTTCTATTTTCTGGAATAGTTTTAGGGATATTGGTACTAGCTCTTCCTTGAACGTATGGTAGAATTCTAAGCTATAAACCACTGGCCCTATGCTTATTTTGGTTGGGAGACTTGATGACTGTTTCTGTTTCCTCAGGTGTTATAGGACTGTTTACACTGTTTATGTGATTTTTTTTTCAATTTAGTTTATTTACTCTACATACCAAGGGTGTCCCCTCTTTCTTCTCCTACAAGTTCCTGCTGTCCATTCTTCTCCCTTCCCCTCTCTTTTTCTCCCCAAAAAAGGGTAGCCTCCCTCTCTCATATCAACCCTCCTCAGAACATCAAGTTACATCAGGACTGAGCATATCCTCATCCCCTGAGGCCAAGCTAGGCAGCCCAGCCAG